GATAGATAGATAGATAGATAGATAGATAGATAGATAGATAGATAGATGTGTATAGTAAAGCCTTTGTGTTCTGGCTTTAAATGAAATTATAATAAAGCATTAGTATCTCACTTTGAGTGAAATGTTTCATCAAAGCCTTTGCTATGTTGGCATTAATCAGTAGTAGTTGAGAAATCGTTTTGAAACTTTTGAGCCTTGAAGAAATATCTCTTTGGATAGTCTGAACTTGGTATCAAGTTAGACCTTGGTCCTAAGACATTCCTGGCAAACTTGAAATTCAAATCAAAAAGGACCAAGATTTGTGCAGGTTGACTCCTCTCCCAGGTAGCAAGGGCAATAATTTTGGTAGTTGGACCCTTTCCCAGCCCCTATCAATTTTGCATAATAATTGAATAAAAGTAACTGGAATGAGCTAGTCAAGGTCAGTCTTTTTCAAGGCTGACCCCCTTTGCTCCTTCAAAAATAAAGGCTTAGCATCTTGGTGACCTTCTCTCTCTACTGCAGCACCTACAACCAACATCAGTCAGCATAAAGAATTTATTTAATGGTTACTTAGGACAAGGCATGATGATGGCATCTAGTCCATCTCCAAGGTTCTACAGCAGGATCAAGTTTAAGCAGAATGCCAGCAATACGCTTGATTAAGTGACCCTGCCAAGGTCTGAGGTGTAGTCTACCTCCCTACCCTCAGCTCCTGTCTTGACAGTATGGTGGAAAGTCAAACCTAGTCTCCCATAGACAAGTTCCTCCTCTGGTTGTCCTCAGTCTTTTCTTCTAGGAGCTTTCTGGAAAAATTCTGATTTGTTCCAATAGTCTGTTGGCCAAAGAGAGACACACAGATGTCCCTTTAGACTATCATTCCTGCCAGGCAGGCTGAGTGATATATGGGGTGGCATGGAGATCTAAGTGGGGATGGGAGAATTCGGGACCACACCATGCTGTCTCTAACAGCTAGATTGCGGCTTCGGGGACTATGGAAAGAGTTTATCTAATCAGATTGTGATCCCATCCGTGGCACCTCAGGAAACAACCTATAATCTCACTAAAAGGAGAGAAAAAGAGTCCTTAATGACCTGTTGAAAACATAACTTCAAAAGTCACAAAAATTGTATATACTACTCTTAAGTGCTCCCTTGATAAGCTCACACTTTCCTGAAGTGACTTTCTTGCTAATACCTATACTTAAATCCTCTTCTTAAAAACTCCAGGTCTGCTGGCTGCAGCGGTACATACATGCCTGTAATCCCAGCACATGGGAAGGCAGAGGCAGATGGACTTCTTTGAGTTCAAGGCCAGTCTGGTCTACAAAGCGAGTCCAGGACAGCCAAGGCTACACAGGAATCCATGTCTGGAAAAAAAAGAAAGAAGGAAGGAAGGAAGGAAGGAAGGAAGGAAGGAAGGAAGGAAGGAAGGAAGGAAGGAAAGAGAGAGAGAAAAGAAGCTCTCCAGAGTTAAAAAGATAGCTTAGTGGTTAAAGTATTTGCCCTGCAACTGAGGACCTAAGTTCACATCCCCAGAACACAAGTAAAGCCAAATACAACTGTGCATATCTGTAATCCTGGGGCACCTGTGGCAAAATAGGAGGTAGAAACAGGAGAGTCCCTAGACAATTACATGCATAATACAGACTGACAAACAAGAGAGCCTGCATCAAACTCAGTGGAAGGTAATATCCTCTCATCTTCACATGATCCATGCTCACACACTCACGCTCACACATTCAAACAATATACAAACATAAAACACCAGCTCCACTCTTTATCGACTTTATTTATTTTTGACAATGAAGTCAAGAATCCTGGCTTCAATTAACTGGAGGTTCCTGAGAAGACCGGTATTCCTCTTGTGCAATTGCTCTTTCTGTCTGACTATTCTAATGTTCCACTTAAGCTGGATTATGGTAAATGCTGGAAATCTAGCATTCATGGGGTAGAGGTAGAAAGACCCACCACAGGCGTGAGGAAAGCCTGGGCTACATAGTGAGATGCTGTCCTACTAAATAAGTGAATTAACTAATAATTAAAATTGAGTACTGGGTGGTTAAAGCAATACCTTCTAAAGTCATTTCGGGTGTCACTATATCGTCATCTTAAAAGGTAATTTTCATTTAGTGGATTCTCCTACTTTAGGTAACCTAGTCAAAGAACCCTTTACAGACATGCCCAAAGAAATTTGTTTCCAGGGCGATTCTACATTCCATTAAGATGGCAAAGGAGAATAACTATCATATTAAATCTTAACCCAACCCTACAACTTAAACCTTTAATTCTTAACCCTAATGTAACCAAAATCTAAAACTAACCTTTCAGTACTCTGGTTCACAAACTACTAGAGGAAACCTAAAGTAAAGTTTCCAGAAATAAACAATGCAGAAAGATTTGTGTGTGTGTGTGTGTGTGTGTGTGTGTGTGTGTGTGTGTGTGTCAGGGGGGAGACTTGCAAAATACAGATCATTGTGGATTTTCTCTGCCTGTCTCTGTCTGTCTGTCTCTCTCCTGTCATAAAATACATGGCATTTTATGGATTTATGGAAATACTTTTTGGAAATATTGCTCGATGTGGTTTTGGCCTATCAAAGCATGAGAACAAAGTGACAATGCTTTCATGGTAGCCAGACTATGTGCCTGTAACTTCCCACCTTGGTATTAAAAGAATAGAGAAAGATAGCTAAGAACTGGGTCATTGTTATAATTCTGAAAGCCAAAGCTGTGCTTTCATGCGATCATTTCCTCCAGCGAGGCATCTGCCAAAGGTTTCAAGGCCCCAGTAAAGTGCCATAAGCTGGAAACCACCAGACTCATTCAGTTTTGTTTTTATTTGTTTTGTTTTGTTTTTATTTATGACTCCTTTGTGTATGAAATTGTAATGCAATCTTAGTAGACAGGCATATGAAGTGGGTGTTCAAATGAAATATTTGTTATTTATAAATCAGAGATCTACTTAAAAATAATTGGTGAATATATACTTTTACCATTTATTGAACATGAAAGTTAGTTTGTATATTAGTAAAATGGGCATACTTATTTTTACATAAAAGATTAAACATTAACTAAATATGTAATAATGCACCATGCAGAGAATCAATGTGGTTTTATAGTTTGTAAATTAGAGAACATCACATAAATCAGTAGAACTAGGTAGAAATAAAGTTAGGATCATTTCATAAGTTGTTACAATATTTTTCTTTATTGGAACCCAATAATCATTGAAGGATTTTTTAAAAAAATAAAATACAAGTCAGTAAGTCAGGCAATTTTTAATGGTAAACTCTAACACTACAATTCAAAGATAAGTTAATTTGGTACTTACATGATGAATGACACTAGAAAAACAGAAAAGTCTGGTTCCACAATCAAGTCATTATTTCCATAACAGCAGGAAATTCCGGGTCCTTAGTAAAAGGACTTCAATTTGCAGGATACAGAAAGTTGTGTGTGAGCTGAAGTGCTTCAGTGAACTGTTATTTGGCACTGAGTGGCATGACTTCACAAGCAATGCCCAAGTTGTATGATCAGAACAAAGTCAAGGTGTAGTTAAATCATATGATACAACAAGGGTAAGTGATGTCAGAAGCATGAAAATCAAGGGACATATACAGCTGAAAGTACAGATACCAACCTCCTGCCTCAGCGTTCTAAATGATAACACTTTTTTTCATATTTTTTAAAATGTAAATTCACAATGAAAAAATTACAGAGTAAGCATACAAAGAAATAGTCTTAATCGTAAAATAGTTACATTTTAAGCAGTGTTATTACAAAAATCAAAAGCATTAAAATCACATACATTGTAAAACTGATAGCAAATTTATTCTTTAGGAAAACATCAATATACTATAAACTAAAGTCTACAGCGTTGTTAAAGTTTACAGTAGACTAATGCATCTTCATTTATAGTCACCTAAGTCTCTGATAGAACAAAATAGAGTCCTGAAAACTCTACTCGTAGTAAATACTATTCATAGGTTGAACATTATTTTATGCCAAATCTTTTTTGGATACATATTTATTGGTACTATTCCTAAAATAGGCAATGAAAGAACATTCCATAGATTACTAGAGTCTTGAACTTACACCATGTAGCCTAAGTGTATGGCTGTCTACATTATAAAAATATGTACACTGTGATTAGGAAATCAATTGTCTAACAATAGAAACAAATTTAGAAATAAATTGTCTAACAATCTATACTGGCAACTATTTCTGCTGTTAAAAGTTCATGTATACACTTAGAAAACTTTCATCTCAGTGTTTTCCTGCAAAAGAAATGGAAATTCATGACCTAGGAACCTTGCTATTTCTCTTGATAGTGGTACTAAAAATTAAACTGGGAGACTAGAGCTAAACAAATGAGTTACTTACCTTTTTTTTTTTTTCAAATTTCTATTGAGACTGGTCTCACTAAGTTTTTTGGGCAGGCCCTGAACTTGCTATCACTTACCTCAAAACCAGAGTACCCAAGAGTACAGGCCTAGACTATTAGGTGCAGCTGAGAACTTCTTTAAACGCAAATCATATGAAACTTTTAGTATGCTTTGCTTCAGTATTTCAACACACATAAATTTGTAGGATCTTTTTCCAAGTGGAGTTATCACATGATTGTCAGTGTGGTTAAAATACATGCTTTACTTTCCAAACTGCAGCAGTTTCAATCCAGTATGTTTCTATATGACTACCTCCATTAGCTTATGAATTTGAGTGGATGTCTAAGAAATGAAACATCATAGTCCATTCACTCGACACCAGATATGTTCATGTCTTCAAATGAAATTGAAGGTCTTAACACATCTCAGATTCATGAAATTTTCTTCAGTGAGTCCTTCCAAGCTTTCCATAGCAAACAACAAAAAACTAAAGACTTCACCATCTGTTTTATATTCATTAGCTCTTTTCCCAGTACTTCCACACAGTTGAAGAGAGCTAGAAATTCTAAAACATGATTGCATGTTTGTTTACATTCATAAAGATTTTTCCTCAGGTATGTGTTTTTTCATGTCTTTGAAGGGAACAGTAACATGTAAAGGCCTTACTACAGTCTTTGCATTCATAGGGTTTCTCTCCGGTGTGAGATCTTTCATGAATTTGAAGTAAATATGGATAAATGAAGGATTTAATACATTGTTTACATGAATAACGTTTTCCCCCAGCATGAGCCATTTTATGCCTCTGAAGAGAGCTATGACTTATCAAAGCTTTACCACACTGTTTACATTCATAGGGTTTTTCTCCTGCATGAGTTTTTTCATGCATTTGAAGGGAACTGTGACTTCGGAAGGCTTTATCACATTGCTTACATTCATAAGGTTTTTCACCAGTATGAGTTCTTTCATGCATTTGAAGAAAACTGGGATAGAGAAAGGCTTTACCACAAATACTACATTTACAGAGTTTCTCTCCAGTATGCGATCTCTCATGCATTTGAAGGTAGCATGGATAAATGAAGGCCTTGCCACATTGTTTGCATTCATAGGGTTTCTCTCATCATGAATTCTTTCATGTCTTCTAAGGGAACTTTGACTTCGGAAGGCCTTACCACATTGCTTACATTCATAAGGTTTTTCTCCAGTGTGAGTTCTTTCATGTAACTGAAGAGAACTTGAACAACTGAGAATTTTACCACACTGTTTACACTCATGGAAACCACTGTGCATTTTTTCATGTATTCGAAGATAACCAGCACTTTTGAAGGTTTTGCCACATTCTTCACATTCATAGGGTTTTTCACCGGTATGCGTTCTTTCATGTGCTTGAAGGAGACTATGACATCGGAAGGTTTTACCACACTTTGTACAGTCATAATGCTTTTCTCTAGCATGGGCTCTTTTGTGTAACTGAAGGGAACTGAGGCCTTTGAATGCTTTACCACATTGCACACATTCATACGGTTTTTCTCCACTATGTGTTCTTTCCTGTCTTTGAAGGAAAGAGGGACAAATGAAGGCTTTACTGCATACCACACATTTATAGGGTTTTTCTGCAGTATGAGACTTCTCATGCTTTTCAAGTAAATACTGATAAATGAAGGACTTACCACATTGTTTACATTCATACGGTTTTCCTTCAGCATGAGTTTTTTCATGTACCTGAAAATTACTGAGACGCCTAAAGGTTTTACCACATTGTTTACATTCATAGGATTTTTCTCCAGTATGAACGCTTTCGTGTACTTGAAGAGAATTGGAAGGACTGAGGGTTGCGCCACACTGTTTACAGTCATAGAAACCACTATGAGTTTTTTCATGTATTCGAAGATTACTGAGACTTTTGAAGGCTTTACTACATTGTTTACAAGCATAAAGCTTTTCACTAGTGTGGGTCCTTTCATGTACTTGAAGTAAACTATGATATTTGAAGGCCTTACCACATAGTTTACATTTATGGGGTTTTTCACCAGTGTGAATTATTTCATGTACTCGAAGACAACTGAGACCTCTGAAGGCTCTACCACAGTGCTTACATTCATAAGGGTTTTCTCCAGTATGGGTTCGTTCATGTAGTTGAAGGGAACTCGAGCAGCTGAGAGTTTTCCCACACTGTTTACATTCATAAGGTTTTTCTTCAGTGTGAGTCCTTTCATGTACTCGAAGGTAACTAAAACCCCTGAAGGCTTTCCCACACTGTTTACACACAAAGGGCTTTTCACCCATGTGTGTCCTTTTATGTAACTGCAGAGCACTAGAACAACTGAGAGTTTTCCCACACTGTTTACATTCATAGGGCTTTTCCTCAGTGTGACTTCCTTCATGTATCCGAAGGTAACTGAGACTTCTGAAAGCTTTGTCACATTGTTTACATTTATAGGGTTTCTCACCAGTGTGTGTTCTTATATGAACTTGACGTAAACATGGATAAATGAAGGACTTACCACATTGTTTACATTCATAAGGTTTTTCCCCAACATGAGAAACTTTATGTCTTTGAAAGGAACGTGGATCTTTAAAGTCTTTACCATACTGTTTACATGCATAGAGCTTTTCTTCATAGTGAATCCTTTCATGTCTTTGAAGGAAAGAAGGACATAGAAAGGCCTTTCTACAGATCTTACATTTATAGGGTTTCTCTCCAATATGAGATTGTTCATGTAACTGAAGAGCACTCTGACCTTTGAAGGTTTTGCTGCAATTTTTGCATTCATAGGGCTTTTCCCCAGTGTGAGTTCTTTCATGTCTTCGAAGGAAAGAGGGGCACAAGAAGGCTTTGCTACATCTACTACATTTATATGGTTTCTCCCCACTGTGAGACCTTGCATGCAATCGAAGGGAACTATGACCTCTGAAAGCTTTGCCACACTGCTTACACTCATAGGGTTTTCCCTCAATATGAGTTCTTTCATGCCTTTGCAGGAAAGAAGAACAGCTAAAGGCTTTACTGCATAAATTACATTTATAGGGTTTCTCTCCAGTATGAGATCTTCCATGGGTTTGAAGTAAATAGGGATAAGTGAAGGACTTGCCACACTGTTTACACTCATAGGGTTTCTTCCCAGCATGAGTTATTTTATGTCTTTGAAGGGAACTGTGGCTTCGCAGAGCTTTACCACATTGTTTACATTCATAGGGTATTTCTCCAGTATGAGTTCTTTCATGTATTCGAAGATTACTGAAAACTCTAAAAGGCTTAGCACATTGCTTACATTTATAGGGTTTTTCTCCTGTATGAGTTCTTTTGTGCCTTTGTAGGAAAGAAGAAGAAAGAAACGCTTTACTGAATATCTTACATTTATAAGGCTTTCCTTCTGTATGATACCTTTCATGCATTTTAAGTAAATAGGGATAAATGAATGACTTACCACACTGTTTACATTCATATGTTTTTGCCCCAGCATGAATTATTTCAGGTCTTTGAAGGGAATTGTGACATTCTGAAGCTTTAATACACTGTATACAGTCAAAGTCCTTTTTTCCCTTAGGAGTTCCACTGTGAAATGGCAGGTAACACAAAGAACTCAGAGTTGTACCACATGGTTTACACTCTGAAGAGTTTTCTTCGGTTTGAGTTCCTCCATGTTTGTAAAGTGAGCTGGGACAAATAAAGGCTGTTTTACGTATATTGTACTCATCGGGTTGTTCTCCACTGTGTATGTGCTTATGTATTCCACATGAGCTTGGAAAACCAAAGGATTCTGAATATATCTCATATTCATAAGTTCCAAGCACAGTGTGGGTTCCCACATATATGTAAATAGATGTGAGAGAGCTGGAGTGATATTGTTTCTTTCTGTATTCCTCAAGCTCATGTCCTGTGTATCCAGACTGAGATATAATGTTCCTATGAAAGGATGAATAATACATGAAAACTTTCTTATACAAATCACATTCACATAGTTTCACTCAAGTAAAAGTTTTTGGACTTCTGTTGACGTTTGATTTCTTGAAGGTTCCTCCAAATATAACACCTTCTTTATTCTCATAGGCCAAATCTAGCATTTGAGTTCTATAAAACTGACAGGCACATTACAAACGGTTGCTTCACTGATGACTATTTAGTCATTAGTAGGTTTTAGATTCCAACTATTCCCTAAATCAGGAAAAGTGTACACGTTCTGTGATATCTAAATGTTTTCATACTAAGTTGGTAATACTGCAATATGGTTCTTAAAGCTATTATCAAACAGCAAAGATCAAACAAATGTTTTTCTTAGTACTGTTTCCAAGTGAACTTTCTTACATGGAATTACATATTTTCTGGGATTTGTTGTTGTCGGTTTTTTGAGACAGGGTTTCTCTGTGTAGCCTCGGCTATTCTAGACTTGTTCTATAGACCAGGCTGGCCTCAAAATCACAGAGATCTGCCTGCCTCTACCTCACTGACTGCTAGAATTACAGGCGTGTGCCACCATGCCTGGACTGTGAAATTTTTCTAATGATAAATAATTTAAATCTGTGTTTGCCTTAACTTGTTCAGAAATTTTCATAACATATTGACATTCTCTCAAAATGTATTTTCTCCAACTAATACATGTAATTTACCTTAGATTTATCTCAGGTTGCTCATAATGATCTTCAATGGTCTGGCACTCCGATTTGATTCCTAAACCGCACACCCAGGAAAAAAAATTACAAATTATTAAAAACTACAAATAACTGTTAAGTGTCTAGGGTTAATGCACATTGTACCCAGGCCTCTTTTGTTCACATAATTCTTCCCTTTCCACATTCTAAATTACATAATGAAGGAACACTGGCTGTCTAATTGGAGTATCAACAATCTTACCTATAGAAGCAAGATTACTGCAGATTTCTAGCATCACACTAATGTACAGGTTCTTCTGAGAAGGATGTAGCAAAGTCCACTCTTCCTGGGTGAAGTTCACAGCCACATCCTCAAAGGTCATTGAGTCCTAAAACATCCCATATGAGTGTGTAAGAAAAGGGAAGAAACTGACACACTATATATAATTGATAAGATTTTCATATAATTCTGCAGTCTCCAAACTTTTATTTAATGACAGAAAAGTTCCTATGCTAGGACTGACATATTCAGATAGAAAATAGGAAAGTAGGAACTCTTGTCTCATTACTGCCTTCAGGGGTTGGAGCTTGTCACTGGGTCACCTCAGTTTCTCTTTCTAGAATGGATCATCTGCTATCTGTGATAACAAAGCCCTACTGAATGGTGTACAAAACAGACTACAGTCAAGAGGTTGATTTTTCTTAGAAATTTTTCTTAGAACTTCCTAGGCACAAATAGGAGCTTCACTGATATAAGAACATCTAATATTGTAGGAGACATAAATGTCAATAGCAGTAACTCAGTCTAAATGGTTCAGGGAAACATTTGACATTTTCTGAACCCTTGTTGGATTTCTGAATGTTTCATACACAACAATAATGAAAGAATCCATCTCACAATACACTTAGGACAATAATCCTAATGAATTTCACACAAGTTGTTAAAACTTGCTAAATGGGGAATTGCATCTGTGCTATGTGACTGTGGCAGAGGAAATATTAAAATCCCGAGAGCAGTTTCCACTCAGCCAAATTTAATAAGACAGTATTTGGGACAGGTAATCAATAATGACCCCAAAAGAATAATTTTTAATATTTTCATATATTCTTCTGTTTGTTTGAGACAGGGTTTCTCTGTTTAGCCTTGGCTGTCCTGTACTCACTTTGTAGACCAGTCTGGCCTTGAAATCAGAGAACTTCCTACATGTGCTTTCTCAAGAGCTGTCATTAAAGACATGCACCACCATACCCAGCTCATATATTCTTTGATAACTTTACACATATATTATGTATGTATATATGTATCCTATTCTGGTGGAAACCATGGCTCTGTTTCAGGGAACAGCATCTGAGTGCTTTATGGATGGATCTCTTTGTGGGATGCATCCAAGTACAAGCTCCTGTATACCTGGCAAGGACCGGTTTAACAAGGACTGGTTTGACAGAATCTGCAGCCTTGGCTGTTTCTCCGGGGACTGGCTGTGGAGAGATTTCTTTCCTCTAGTACAACATTACGTACGGTTTTAACAGCTTTTCATTTCACTTTGTCTGTAGTGGGTACAGCAATGACACAATAGAAATATAACAATTCTAAGGTGTATGTATTAGAAATACTTAAAAGGATTGAGATGATGATTCTTGTAGCAATTCAGAATCAAGAAAAGTTTTGAGAAAGTCAAAATAGAAACCATAGTTTCTTGAGGCACATAATTATTCTGGAAAAATAAAAGCACGTAGTAGGGCCTGGAGAAATGGCTCAGAGGTTATGAATACTGGCTGTTCTTCCAAAGATCCTGAGTTCAATTCCCAGCAACCACATGGTGGCTCATAACCATATCTAATGAGATTTTGTGTCCTATTTTGACCTGCAGGTACACATGTGAAATAGAAGTTTCTGCTTTCTGTGAAGACCCAGTTTTGTCATGTGAAGTTTAGCTGCAAACTGTCTTGTGACAGGGAACAGTGATGTTTTGCTGGAGGCTGGCTTATGAGAGGGCATGTGATGTTTGCTATGATCTCTCACATGACAGGGACATGACTTTGGCCAGCTGTAAACATCCGTAGGTGGACTCTGAGGAGAGGCAATATATAGAAGCTCACAGAAAGTGAGACATTGCTTTTTAGATCAACATAACTGTGCTGATCTTCTTGCTTTGGCACTTGAATCTGCAGAGAGAAATGTTCTAGAGAATTTCTTGGGGCAATCCAACTGAGTCTTGTGGGTTTTGCTGACTTGTCCTGATCTTCTGAATTGTGTTGACTTGTGTTGCGGCTTGGTGGTGGTGGCCTTTGTACTGGATTGCTGGTATCCTGATGACTGAGTTCAGTAATTCCCTAATGTTCCATTGACCCTAATCAGCAGGAAGTAAGTAAAAGACGTCTACAGCCCTTTTCCCTACTATTCTCCTTCCTAAGGGCATGAGGTTTTGAAGGGAGGTAAAGGTGTTTAAGAACCCTAAATAAAGTAGGTTCGTGAAAAATCTAAGCCTACACACATGCAGGCAGAATACCATATAAATAATAAATAAATAAATCTTTAAAACAAAGCACCATAGTATACTCTGATTCAGAAAGCAGCTCTTGCAAAGAATGGATTAAAGAAGTTAGTGAGTACACATAAACATGAGGGAATCAGAGGACTTATCTGTATAGGTGCCAGAACCTCAGGCAGTTAGAAAATAGGAAAAGTTGGCAAAGAGTAAACCAGCTCTTGTGCCAACAGAACAAATTTCCTTATCTTAGCTCCAGCTGTGAAAAACAGAAATATAGACATTGTCAGAGAAGATTTAGATAAAACTTGTACCAGTGTTTAAGGTACAGTATGCTGACCACAATGACCATGGAGATGTGCTTAACTATGAGACCATAAAATTAAATATCCGCCTAGGGAATATAAAGCATATGAGAAAGAAACTTATGAAAAAAACATTCAGAGATTCATTATCTACTTTCTTGGAACATATCTGAGGAAATAAAGCTGAAAGGGTATGTATTGTGACTTTGAAGTGAAATAGAGAGGCTTGAGCTATTTGGGATCATCTCCTTAACAGCAAGTTGGTGCTCATCTCCTGCATTACACCTACACTACATCTCTATTCTCGGGGTCTTTGAACCCACAGGAGCTCGACTCCAACAATATTCACCTGCAACTACCTCTTCCACTCCCTCCTCCCAATACATGACCCCCACCCCATCTTTATGTTCTCCTCACTTTTTGTTTGTTTTTAAAGAATTATTTTTATTCTATGTGCAGAGAAGTTTTGCCTGCACATATTTCTACGTATCACATTTATGTGGTGCCCGTAGAAGCCAGAAGAGGCATAGGATCCTCTGGAACTGGAGTTACGGACATCTACCATGCGGATGCTGGGAACCAAACCTCGGTCTTCTACAAGAGCAACGAATGCTCTTACTGACTGAGCCAAGTCTCCAGCCCCTTGCTTTTGATTTGCTTTTATTAACCCAGAATCCAATTGGTGCTACCTGCATGTATACCAACAAACTACTAGCATCCACACACCCAAAGAAAAATTAATCTCCTCCACAAGCAGCTATCAATTGACAATAGTTCTTGAGAGAGGAACTGAGTCTCATTAGCTTATGATTTTATGCTAGTATTGTTGACTGGCTTGATTTTGTGCAGGTCTTATGCAAATAGCCATAGGTTCTGTGAGTTCATATCATATTCAGAAGACAGCATTTCACAGCATTCCACTATATACCCAGATCCCATGTTCTTCATAATCCCTCTTTGGTCATGTTCCATATGCCTTGCACTAATAGCAAGTTTTTAATAGCCATTCAGTAAAAGTCAAAGGAAAGAGAAACATTAGATAGCACATATTTTTACTAGAACTCAAGCTACCAAATCTACATTTCTGATCCTACTAGTAACACAAGTGTCTAGCAATTATCAGAGTCTTCTGAGCAATAGTGTGACTTACCTAACAATGATGAAGAGCATTTGAAATACTTTGCAGACATAAAAGGACCAAAAATAAAAGCAAATAGCCAGAATTTATCAGGCTGCAATTTGGAATATCAAATCAAGACAAAACCAAACTCCAGCTGTGCCATGTCTGGGATCCAGTCATGATCTTCTGAACTCTGCCTTCTGCAGCACACATAGCTTGTCTTCTAGGCTCCAGCTGGCTCCACTCAACTGCTGATGCTGTTTTTGGTGGTCATCGTACTGTACCAGCATCTTCAAAACACTGGGATCTTCTGCTGAAATCAGGCTGCGCTTTCACCAATAGGCTCTCATAGGCTCTCTTCATGGTGCCAAGCCTCAGCTTCTTTGCACGACCCCTTCAGTCCTGCGCCTTCAGCTGCCACTGAGGCTACACCATCACCAATGGCCTCCCCTGGACTTTCACAGTGCCAAGCCCCAGCTGCTCTCCATGATCCCTTCTTGCCTTCCAAACCAATACCACCTTGGTGACTTTTACACTACCAAGTTTGGCTGCCACTGAGGTACAATCTTGGCCACCTCTCCAGTGTGCTATCAGGAAACAAAGGATGTCATTGACGCTGGTCTCTTCTTAATCACCGCTAATTTCTTAGCTCTTGCAGACCAGTATCAAGTATCCCAACAGAGCAAAGTTTTGCTTTAGTAGTTCTGGTACCTTTGTTAGTCACAGCTAATTCTTCAGTCCCAGCTATCCAGAACCCCAATATTAACTCAAAATAAGAAATGGCCCATTTCCCTCTGAATCTTCAGGAGCCAGGCCTCCATCCTCTGCACTGCTCACTATTCTTGTCTTCCAAGCACCCAAAGAATATCCCAGGAAGCTCTCAATACTCAATGACTTTTCTGGCCAAAAGTTCCAAAGTCTTTCCACAATCCTCCCCCAAACATGGTCATTTCTGTCACAGCAAGACCCCACTATGCTGGGAGCAACTTGTCTTAGTTAGGGTTTTTATTGCTGTGATGAAACATACCATGACCCAAAAGGAAAATGGGGAGGAAAGGCTTTACTTGTCTTATCCTTCCACATTGTTCATCACCAATGAAAGTGACAACAGGAACTCAAATGGGGCAGAATCCTGAAGCAGAGGCCATGGACAGGTGCTGCTTACTGGCTTGCTGCCCATGACTTGCTCAGCCTGCTGTTAGGGGGTGTTCAGGAGGAACAGCAAAACAGCTATAGAATTCATGGAATGCAGCCCACAGTTAGCACAACCATGATGGGTATGCCTCAGACAGTCAGGGCCCTGAGGATGCTGTGTCCTGAGGACTTCATCCTGTTGTAGAGTTTTGCTCGGCTTACTGTCTACATGCTCACCATATCTGTCATTATCTATTAGTTGTATGAAAATTCTACGGGGACTTTCACTCCCTCACTAGGCAGTATCATTGGCACTTACAATAATAGTGACTGATGTTTTTCAAACATTGCCACTGGAGCAGATTAATGTTTCATCCACTGCCCTCAGAAATAACTTAAGAGATGGAGGTTGTTGACCACTACCCTTAAAAAAATTTGGAGAAGCAGATTGTTAGTAAAGTTAGAGTAAGATGTTTTGTTAATAGTTCTCATGTAGAAAATCTTAGGGAACAACTTGAAGTTCAGAAAGGCACACTCTTCATTGAGTTAGGGATTTTCTGGGGTCAGGGAACAAGAACAATGGCAGTCCGACTGGTACTAGCTGAGGTTCCTCTTGCTGAAGCTGGGCTGGGGATCAAGGTGAGGATTAGTTTTTGACCTCAACTTTCTACTATTAATGTTAGTGAGTAGGTGTGCACCTTGAAGATTTAAAGTAGAAATGACTGATTTTCTTATATGACAGTTTAGACTTGTGATTATCTTAAGATTTTTCATAAGATTACTTTTTAAGATAAATAATAAAATAATCGATCCTTTCAAATTGCAGCCTGCCAGTAAAGTATGGCTGAGAAAATTATCTTGCTTCACTTTGTTAAGATATGCGGGTTCTTGGGAATAATTCGTTTTTCACATTTGTATTTCACCCATAATACATAGAACATTTGATCATATGGGGGTATTGGAGAACATGTTTTTCTATATATATATTCACTGTAATTGTTTACTTAAAGAAAAATAAAATGTACCACATTGTGATTTTTGTACTGCTTGAAAGATTTTGCTGGGATATATAAGCTGTAGAGAAAAAATAAAGTTGTTGGAGCTTGCTTGTTGAAGTTTGCTCCATCCACCCAATATGTATGTGTGTATATATGTGTATATGTAAAATTGGTTGGGATTTCTTCATTGGTGCTTTGCTCCATCCATCATATATATATATATATATGTACATTTATACACACCCCCATATACATATATATGCATATACATACACATATACATATATATTCATTTATATCACATATATACATATATTCATTTATATATATAAATGTGTATGTATATAAACATATATCTATGTGTGTATATATAAATATATATATGTGTGTGTATACATGTATATACATATGTACCTACATACATATATATGGGGGCAGCTTGGACCTTTGCTCCACCCACAAAATGTGTGTGTATGTATGTATTGTGTATGTGTGAAGTTGTGGGGCTTGTTGAAGCTTGCTTCATCCACCAAGTGTGTGTGTATGTGTGTGTGTGTGTGTGTGTGTTGGTGTGTGTATGATTCTTTTGTCCCCCCCCTTTTTTTGTTGGCCCTCAAAGAGTTCCCAAAGAGTTTTTGCTGGCCACAGGGAGTAGCTTGACAGCCCTATTGAATCAAGCTTTGTTCCCTCACAGAAAAGTAGGCTGAGTGATCAATCGCCGACTTCACAGCCTGCTTCAGTTTACTCTATGATGTTCAAAGCTTGTCACACTAAGGAGGAAATGCCAGACATCCGTGGTGTAGGTTTTCTTGTCAGTTTCCTAATATATCTACCTGTTTTTAGAAGGGACATAGGTGGTTTCCCCAGGTATGTGTCTCCCAGAGGAAGCTGACACTTTAAAATGGCTAGACTTGGGAAGCTTCTATAAATTTTGCTCTCCCCCATCTGAGTGAGAGTATGCGCTGTAATTCTAGCCACTCTAACAGCTATCAACATGCCTTAGAACAGATTCTGTGTTCATCACTGTCAAATCCACCCTTGGAGGCAAAAAGAAAAATGAGAATCCCAAGTAGATGAATGGCTCCTGTGGGCCCATCAAAAGTCTAGGACAATTTGATTTAGCTATATCCTTGTTCTGGCTTCTGATTACCTGCTGGAATCTTCTGAGAAGAGGGAACCCCAATTGAAAAAAATGCTCTCATCACAGTGGCTTGTAGGTAAACCTGTGGGGCATTTTTTTTTTTTTAACTGATGATTGATACGTAACAGTCTGACACACTATAAAATCTATACGTGTACTCTGGGACATATAAAAAAGCACACTGAGCAAGCCAATAAGCAGTATTCTTCAGTGGCCTCTGCTTCTGTTCCTACCTACAGGTTTCTGCCTTGAATGCCTTCTCTGGCATTCCTTCATGACAATAAGCTGTAAGATATCCCCCCCCCCAAGTTGCTGTTGGTCATGTTTTGTCACACCAATAGAAACCAAACTAGGTCACCTGCCTAGGCTTTTAACTCTTGAGTCTGCTACCCACTCATGTCTCTATGCAGAAAATAATCAAAGACTTTTAAACCTTTCATCTAGCCAGGTGTGTGGCCCCACACCAATGATGCCAGTGCTTGGGAAACAGGACCTGGCAGATCTCTGAGATGGAGGCCAGCCTAGTCTACAAAGTGAGATCCAGCACAGCCAGGACAACACAGAGAAACCCTGTCTCAATAAAATAAAATAAATCCTACATCTGACAGTTGGGGTCCTTTTGATTGGTTCCCAAACCACCACATTCAATGTAACAAATTTGGCTTAAAGCCAGACAGGACACCAACCCCATTCCTACCAACAGTTAGGATTACCACCTCTTCAGAGGTGGTAATGATCAAGAAAGGACAGAAATTGGCTAGGCAGTTCCCCAGAGAGAGCTGGATGTGGTAGCACAAGCTGTCCATTAATTCCTACAGAGGAGGCAGGGAGCTCTCTAAATTTCAGGCAGTAAGTTAATGGATAGTTAGAGATTTATAGTGAGTGAGGCCCTGTCTCAAAAGAAGGAAAGAAAAAAAGGACACAAAGAAAAGTAACCAGTTTCATTCTAGACTGGTAGGACTTGTAAGAGGCCAGAGGAGTGAAGTTTCTTTAACAAAATACTGTAGGCTTCTCACCAGTGGGGGAAAGGACATTAAAAGCAAAGCAAAGAAAAAAAAAAGTTGGCCCTCCTACAGGCTTTATTGGCTTCCTCTATGCGTTGCTGTCCTCCATCAGGCTACCCAACAAATGACCCTAAGACCTGGGTCAGACTAAGGTATGTTATACCTAGATGGAGCAGCCAAGCAAGGATGTCTCAGCCAGATGGCAGGTTTGTGCACAAGCAAATCCAAACAGAGACCTCTTACCCAAGAAAGGGTCCAACTGAAAGATCAAAACCAAGGCAAATTTTGTGGAAACTGACTTTACCAAAATTGGTTGTCCAAGGGAGGATAAAAAAAAAAAAAACTTGCTAAATTTTATAGATACCTTTTTGGGATATGCAGGAATATTCTTCATCCAACTGTTCAAATTGCTTAAAAGCTCCTTCAGGAGCTGGTCCTCTGATTTGGCCTCCCCCAAGGAGTGGGGTTCAATAATGTCCCAGCTTTCATAGCCCAAACCTCTCAATTAATAGTAAAAGCTTTAGAAATAGATTGGAAACTTCATTATACATTTAGACCTCAGCACTCTGGGCAGGTTAAAAAAAATCATAAACAGGGACATTAAAAGAAGTGCTAACAAAAATCTCACTAGAGTCCAACAAAAGGTGGATAGACCTTATTCCTTTGCTTAGCTATGGGCCCACTGTACCCTACATAAGGAGGGATTTATACCTTGTGAGATTATATTTGGAAGACTTCCCCCATTGTTTCCCCAGCTTAAGAGACCAGCAGCTGGCAGAATTTTTAATCATTCCTTTCTCAAGTCCCTGCAGGCCCTCCAGTTCTTCATACAGGCTAGTCATTGGACTACATGAGACACAGCTAACCTCCAAGTCCAGCACCAGTTTCCCCTTCTTTGAGTCCAGTGATAGTCGGTCAAACAGGTAACGAAAGGAGTGCTGGAACCAACTTGGAAATAACCTTTACAAGGTGATTCTTTCTACTCCTATGGCTGTGAAGGTAGCTGGCATTACACCATGGATCCACCACACTCAGGACAAAGAAGCAGAAGCCATAGACACCTCCGCCAAATGGACTGTCTCCCAA